TACACTAGCTAACAAACTTTTGTAAGCTGGCATGGAAACATGTTTATGATGTTTAGTTGCACCATGTTTGATGCTTTTACAGTGCAATACTTGTATTCTCTGAATTAAACCAAAGGTAATTTTTTTTTTTCATGCTCTCTCTACTGTAGTGCATGATAGTCTTTTCTACGTTTGTTATAGATTTAAAACAAGCCAGATCGTACATCCTGTTTTTACCTAAAACATGTATAAGAAGCCTTTTGTTCAAAATGTAGTATAAACTAAATTGCATTATATTAACCCTTACAAGTGTATTTTCCTAAGCATAGTTATGATTAAATAAACTTTATTAAGGAACTTGGCAGCTTCTATCTCCCGGTTATTAATGGCTGTGAGAGCCGTTTGTAACTAAAGGCAGGAGCAGTGCAAGCATCGTTGATGGAGCTCTTCACGACCTCAGACCAGCGTGGTGTGGGGCAGCTGGAGCACAGATGCCCTGTGTCTGCACACAGGGGTTTGCCTGCAGACAGGGACAACGGCTCCAGAAATAACAGTCTTTCTCCATTTCAACCTGCTGCAGTCGTTTCCCTGCCCACTTCAGCGAGGGCAGGGCACAAGGTGGGAGATGAACGTACATACACACACAGACAAAGTTCAAACTTAATGGTGGACCTGTCTGTGACTTGGTGGGACAGGCCTGGTGGGCCTGGAATCCGTATTCCCTGGAATCCATTTCCCTGGAATGCATATTCCCTGCCATGCAAGAAGAAATGCAACTTGGTGGAAGCTGCGGATTTTAAATTTTGAGTTTCAGAGGTAATGCAGGTGGCAATTCCTCCCGCGTTCCAAACAGGTCTCTGGTGCTGTCTCATTTGGGGAATTAACGGATTTATAAAGCTGAGGTCACCCATCATCCCTGTGGCTACGATACTGTCTATGTGGTTATGGAAAATGCCGTGTGAGCTGTGGAGTGCGGTGTAGCCTGCAAGGATGGCTTTTCATCTCTCTGCCAGACCGGCCCTTCTTGAAGACCTGAGCTGGGTAAGCCCACGATGCTAACCTGCCTTCTAGGGCTTGGGCATTCTTACCTCCTACTAATAATGCAGAACAATTCCTATTTGCCAAGGGATCAAGGCAAATGACATTTGATGAACTTGTGGGGATAGTTGTGTATGCAGCTGCTGCGGCTTCGAACAATTCGGGATGCTCCTTGGAGCATAAGTAGTGAACTGTTGTCTTCTCCGATTAAATATTTTCTCTTAAACAATGCCCCCCCAGCAGTCATCATGGTCTGTGGATGGGGATTTGGGTTTCTGAGCCGAGCAGTTGGTGGAGCAGCAGAAAGCAGGGTGCACTGCTGGCACAGGACACAGCCCTGGGGGGCTGCCATCGCCTGGGGAAGGGGCAGGTTTGGATTTGCCCCCTCCCAGTCTCGTAGGCGGTGCGTAGGCAGTTTATGGCAATGTAAGGAGAGGGAGCAGGAGTGGTACCCGAGTCCACCTGCCAGCTGCCAGGGAGATGCTCCGGGAGCCTGGCGTGGAGCCGGCAGGGTCTGGGTCCCTCTGTGCCTCTTCGCCTGCCCTGTGTGAGTTAATGATTTCAAACTGGATCGATAGAGGAGGCCCTGCCCTTTGTACCACCAGCTAGTCCTGACCCCCTGCCCTCAGGAAGGCAGAAGGCGTTCTGGGGACAAGCTGGCTGAAAAGAGAGAGCGCAAGTGGGTTGGCAACATGAGACGTGGTTGTTGACATGGTCCTCAAGAATATGGTTTAGTGATATTTTTTATTGCTTATTTCTTATTTATTTGTTTGTCAGAGTTAGGTTGATGGTTGGACTAGATGGTCTTTATGGTCCCTTCCAACCTAGGCAATTCTATGATTCTATGATTCTATGAAACCATTTTCCCTTAAACCTCCAGGCCAGGTCATCCTTATCTTTGACTAGCTCCTTGCACCTTGGCCGAAAAACCCGCTAGTATTTTCCTGCTAGAAAACCAGGATAAAAACTGCTGGGCTGAAAAAATGTTTAGAAGCTGCTTTATGCTAAGTTGTTTTTTTTTACAGCACTGTGCACACACGGTACCACAAGGCACCAAAGTACCTTGCAGGCCAGTGTGAGCTCCCTCCTGCCCACACATCGAGATGCCCACAAGGTGAGTTAGCTCAAGTCGGGGATGACTTAGCTTCCTGCTGGCCATTTGTACAGGGGCAGAGCAAGCTCATGGCTTAATTCAGCTGCCTCATTCGGGCTTTGCTGATGCTCTGAAGGAGCCGAAATGCTAGGTTCTTGATGTTGGTTTGGTGGTTGGGTTTTGTTTGTTTTTAAAGCTTAGCTGTGTTAACACGAGTGCAAGTGGCTTTATCTTGTTCATGGATAACCTATAGATAGAGAAAGGCAGTTCTAGAAAGGCAAAACCTTTCCCTTGGCCAAGTTGTGTTTTTAAGCTTGGTAAATTGAGTTCCCTGCATGTCCCTCCTTTGCTGGAGGCACCAGACCTGCAGCAAGGCAATGTCCTGGCAGTGCTGTGGCACCCTCGGGCTCAAGCCAGGTGGCTGAACCTGTCTCTTGCCCATGGGCTGGTTGAAGGGGCCATCCTTGGTCTCCTTTTGCCCAGTACAAGTCAGAGCACTCAAAACTGCTGTCATCTGTGGCAGAGACCATGCTGGAGGTGAGGGGACAGATGAGGTTTGTGGCTGGGTTTGTTTCCATCACAAGCAGACGAAGGCGAGTTGGGGCAGAAAGCTGAGTGGGAAGATGTTGACCGGTCCCTTGGTGGGGGTGTGGGGGACAGGGACATCAGCCATGCCCTGGGTGGTTAGGAAGCGACAGGACCACCTCCCAGGTGCTGGTGCAGGTGCCTGTTGCCTTAAGCAGGGACTCGGGAGGTGAAACTGCCAAAGGGCAGTCATTTTTAAGCGGAGATACCATGCACCCCACGTTCACACACGCTCCCCAGCCAATGCATGAGCAGAACAGCAAATGCTGGCCTGCCCTCTCATCTGGCGTGGCTGTTTGCACTCTTTTCAGCATCCCCGAGCCCTGCCATCATGGAGAAAAAAGGAAAAAAGAACAACAAAAAGAAGGCTGAGCTCCTTGCCCGTGGCTGTGCTGGGTGTCCTGGTTTTCATAAAGGGCTCACATGCTTCTCTACTCCATCCAAAAGGCATGAAGCCCTGGGCCGGCTCAGAGCTGGCCAGAATAGCTCTGATTGTGGTTGTTCTGCTTTCTTTCTCTTTTTCTCCTCTTTCTTGATTCAGTGCTGCCTGATGAGGCCAGACTGGGGACCTGAGGCACAGAATAACTCAAAGATGTAGCCACAGCCACACTGTGGCACCCAATATGTGGTGTGGGATGTTACCACTAACTCACCCTCAACAGCAGCTGGTCAAGAATTCCCCCTGGTGTTTCAGCACGCTGCTAGCTGACCTATGTGGACACAACTCTCCTCTGCCACCAGAGGAACTGCTGGGATGGGTCAGGTCAATGCACCACCAGAACGTGGCCCCACCATCAAGTTTCTCCTCCAGCAACAATCATGTTGGACAATCCCTGGCAGTTTAGCTACAAGATTAGTGAAGATGGTTGCTGGTGAGGGGAGTTCATGGGCAATTACAAGCTGTGAATCACAGGAAACTCGGCAGGAAGCAGATGCTAGAACCTTCTTGTCCATTAGGCTCACAGCCCAATGCACCTCTCTCCTATTTTGGCAGTGTTAACAGCGGGCAAAATTTCAGGCTTTACCTGGGACTTGTTCTCCTCTTGCTGTGGAAAACAGCAGCCATTTTCCCAGCTGGGAGTCCCCTGGAATGAGCAGCTCCAAAAAGGGAATAGCCACTGGGCAGGAAAGGAAGCCACTTTTCCTTTTCCTTTTCCTTTTCCTTTTCCTTTTCCTTTTCCTTTTCCTTTTCCTTTTCCTTTCCTTTTTTTGGGTGAGCTGGCGCCACATGGGATCTGTGCCAAAGCAAACCAACCCACAAGCTCCCAGCTGTGGTGGCACGTCCCTGCTTGCAGGGTGGCAGTGAGATGCAGCCCTCCCTTGCCCAGCCCAGTTCTGCACTCCATCCTGCCCCACTCCAGCCCAGCTCTCTGCATTTGAGGGGAAGCTGGGGAGCATCCCCCTCCAGGTACACAAACACCCCCAGGTGCTGCAACCTCCCACCCCCCCCCCCCCCCCC